GTATCAAGGATAAAAAGATACAAAGATGCTCCATGTAAAATCCCCAGAATGTGGAATGACTCCAAAGGGATAACTAAAGATAGTAAAGACCTAACCAAGGTAATGCCTCTTACTCATGCTATGGTACCCAACAGAGATCTATGGAGAAAACAATTAATACAAATGGATAAAACCTTTCCACGCTGTGTGAGGCCTTGTCTATGATTGGTTTAATATATAATGTTAACGCTCCTTTGAGTGTTTTACAGATGTGAACCCCATTTGAAAGATACCTGAAGAAGCAAAGGCCAGCTATAGCTGTAAGATTCTTGGGAGTTTTATGTAGGTTGGGTAAGATGAGGACAGAGACTCCCAAACTATAAACCTGTTAATAAAATCTGCAGTACCAGAGGTGATTTGCCTGCCTATGAGCTGTTGGTCCTAGAATGGTTGGTAAGGCCATGTTGCTGAGGACACTGCATGTTGTGAGTGCAGGAGAAGAAGAGATGGAACTGAGACTAAGCCAAAAAACTCCGTGCCACTGGATGGATGTTCATATTACCAGAAGGCTCTATACAGATGGTTGGGGAAGAAATGATCCCCTTTAAGTCTACTCAATGATGGACCCTGCGTGCTGCACACTACGGACATGCCAAGCAATACCTGCAAGAGCAATGATGGTTCGACCACATACGTACAACTGACAAATTTCTAATTGGATAAGGCCTGCTTCTAGGGGTGGAACACACATCTGGTGCTGTAGACCAGGCCAATGCCTTTTGTCAAGAAAGGCTACAGGCCTTAGTGGAGAAGCCATCATGAGTATATTTTAATGAATATAGTACACCTACTGGGATATCTTCTAGGCATCTGTATTTGCATTCATGTTTGTTTAAATGTGTCCAATTCCCTCCATTTGTCTTTATAATAGAAGAAACACCACTGAGATAGATCAGTGGCCACCGCCTAACGATGACTAATGGGGAGGCCCAAGAAGCCACTCTCTCACCATGATACAAGAGAGATCATCCTACGTCTATCACCCTCTCCATGGTTCAGGGACTTTAGTAGAAGATGGATGGAAAGATTGTAATAGTGGAGGAAAGGGGTGGAGTGTCTCCCAATTGGCTAGTTCCTCCAATGGCGGGGCCTGCCACAGAGTGTGGACTATGGGGGTGTGGCTGGGAGCCATCTTGGAACAGAAGCCTTGAGCCGGAGAAGCCATGAGCCGTGGGGAAGCACGGGAGCCATGGGAACGCCACGTGCAACAGCTGAAAGACAGAATGGACTGACTTCTAATGGATCTGGGTTGATGGCTGGCCCCAGAGGTGTGAGCGAATTATGGGCATGGCACAGTCTGATAAGGCAGGCTCTGAGGCATGGCGTGGGGCTAGGCACTGGGTACTCATTTCTTTGTAAGTTAATAAATACACATAAAATATATTATATGGTTTGTCTGATCGTGCAGGAGACCCAGAATTTGCGCCACAGGGTCTAAGGTAGCCTAGGCTGGCCTGGAATTCACTCTGTAGACAAGGGTGACTTCAAACTCTTGATACTCCTCCCAAATGCTCCATCTCCAAGTGCTGGGATTGTAGGCATGAGCCACCAGGTAGGCCTTCAATGTCTTTTTAATTTTTTTCTTCAGTCACAGTAGCATTTAGCAAAGCCTGGTTTGAAACTTAGTATGCATCTGACCATGACTTTGAACTTCTGAAGTTCCTGCCTCCACCTCCTGAGTGCTAAAACTTTAGACTTACTTGCCCCACAAGATCCAGTTTTATTCAATTTTGAGGATTCAGCAAGCATTCTGTCTGAGCTGTATCACCAGTGTTTGCCATGGCACTTTAAAATTCAAAAATACAGGCAATATATCAAGCGAGCCCACTGCTTCTTCATTCTACGGTTCTCTCTCTCTCTCTCTCTCTCTCTCTCTCTCTCTCTCTCTCTCTCTCTCTCTCTCCTGGTTTGTTTTGTTCTTTGTGTTTGCTTTTTCCACGAGGCCTCATGCTGTACCCCAGGCTGTCTTCTTGACTCAGCCTCCAGCATGCTGGAATGACATGCACCATGCCCAATTTGTTTTCGTTTTGTGGGATGACAAATATAGCATACCTACAATATAGTCTTTCAAAGAGGTGGTTTGCATAATCATTGAACTGATAGCTTGTACTTCAGAGAAATATGTAGGGGTCAGGTTATCGTCTGGGTTTATGATTTTGCTGAGCATTTGCTTTTGTTAGAGAAACACAGCTATGTGTCAAGGATGTGGCTCCGTAGTAAAGTGCTTGCCTAGTGTGCACAGACCTCTAGCTTTGATTTCCCCTATCGCAAGAAACAAAGCAAGACACCATTTAAAAGTCAGCTGTTCAAATTCTAGCATTTGGACAACTGAGACAGGAAGATCACAAATTCTAGGCCAGTCTGGGCTACATAGCAAGTTCAAAGTCAAGGTCAGCCCAAACTATATAGAAAGAATATGTCTCAATCAGAAAACAAACAAACAAAATGAAGCATGTCTTGAACATCTCAAAAGAGTAAGTGCCTTATGCAACAGAGTGTGATGCAAACAAAAGGCCATGGCTGGCTAAGTTTTAGAGAATAAGAGGCTGCAGAGTATGTGTCCCTGGATAGGACTCCTATATTAAACCTCACCCACCCATGGCTATAGGACCACTGTGGAAGAGTGGGCAAAAAGATTGTAAGAGCCAGGGTTGGTGCATGAACATAAGGAAACAGAGGCTTTCAGGACACTGGAAACTTGTTCCTATGAACTTGCAGCAATGCCGACAGAATGTACAAGACCCATGCTGACTTAATCAAACAAAAACCCAGCATGGAATGAGGGAACAGGCAGTAGGTCAACCCTAGCCTAGGAGCTATTGGCAACTGATAACTGCTGGATGAGGGAGAGTAGATCTTAAGATCTATAGATAGGCTGGTAAGATTCCAGTGGATGAATTGTACAGAATGACCTCTATGCACAAATGCTTGACCACATAGTACTTAATATATATGACAGAATGCATGAAATCTGGTAGGGGGGACTATGTGGGGTGGGGAGAGGGAATCTAAATTAGATTGAGATATATTATATGAAGTGCACAAAAACACAATAAAAGAAAAAGATGATGTGGAAATCAAGCCTATTACCCTCCAAAGAAGATGAGAGATGGGATTTATTTAGCTTGGCTGTCAATCAAGCATTAGTCTAAAGAATCTCAATAATAGATTTCTCAGGAGAGGGGATTGATCATACATTTCATAAAGCTAGGTATTGTACCTTCTTCATTCACTGTGAAGTCCCCATTTGCACCTGTCATACCATAGGTGTTTAGTAAGTATTTGTAGAATCTTTTTAGTTGTTATTTATTTATAATTGGTGGTTGTTCATGAGCATTCAGTCACGTGACCATGTGCTGCCGAGTCAGGGAAGGGGTGGGGTCATTACCATGGCTTCAGGAAGTTCCCTGTGGCTCCCAAGGTCTGGAATCTCTTCTGCAGAGGACTTCATATTTTGGAGAAATACACAGCTAAGCAGAGAAGATAAAAGTTATAAGATGGTTGTATATAATTAAGCATTTGCATTAGGTTTTTTACAAATATAAAGACATAGTGCCAAGAATGAAGTAGAAAACTAACATTTTCGGTGATTCTGTCAGTGCTGTTTCATGTAAGACATCTGGACTGTGACTTGTATCAACTTGATGCATGTGGTTTGTAAAGTAATGGTGAGGACATGCAGGGAATGTGGTGGGATGAATTAATGCTCATCCATGAAAACCAACCAAAGTGAGCTTAATGAATTAAAAATAGTAACTACAGCACTGTGTGTGTAGGGGTGGGCACAGCAGGATTACTGGGGGTGATGGGCAGTAGCCTAGCTCCAGGCTCAGTGGGAGTCCTTTCTTAGGAGAAGGTGGAGAGTGATAGAGGACCCTTAATGTCTTCCTCAGGCTTCTGTACAGCACACACAGGTGTTTATACTTTGAAGCAGGTATGTATACACACCACACACAAACGCACACTAAATAAATAAAGTAAAAAGACATAAATTTTGAAAAGTAAAAAATATTGAAAATTCTATGTCTAGATTCTTAGAACACAAAAAAGTAGAAAAACAAAATCCAAACAAAGTTGGGTTTTGGTATTGAGTTAACAGTAATGCACCAATGTACCAGGTATTGTCAAACTGTCAAAAAACAAAAAAAATCCAAGCAAGATCCAAGTGTATCACCTAAAACAACTTCACTTTGAATATAAGACCACAGCTATCATAAAATTAAAATAAATATTAAAAAGTTATAATGTGCTGGGATGGGGGAAATGGCTCAGTTGGTAGAATGCTTGCTGGGCAAGCATGAGGACCTGAGTTCAGATCCCAGCACCCACACAAAAGCCAGGCATGAGAGACTGACTTCAATCTCAACACTGGGGAGGCAGAGACAGGAGGATCTCAGCAGGAGTGGGGAGGCTACTTACTGGGCAGTTAGTTTAGTCTAATTGGTGAGCTCCAGGTTTGGTAAGAGTCTTTGTCTCAAGAAACAAGGCGAACAGAACTAGATGCTAAAATTCTATATGCCCTGGTATTAGGACATAGAGAAATCAAGATAGAACTGACCTGAGACCTTCTTCCCTGCTGGCTAGCTTTCACAGAGCTGAAAGCTGCTATGCAGGCCACTGGGGGTGGGGCATCAATGGTATCACCCAGTGACAAACCTGGCATGCTACAATAACAACCTGCTAGGCAAGATGTGCTCAGTGGTATAATAGTGCTGTGAAGTTTATGGTATTAGGTATTAGTTACATTTCCATTGCTATGATGAAACACCATGATCAAGGAAACTTATAGAAGGAAGAATTTAGTTGGCTTATGGTTCCAGAGGAATGAGTCTAACACGGAGGGGAGGCACAGCAGAGGCAGCGGGAGCAAAAAGCTGAGTGCTCACATCTTCAGGCAGGCACAGGAACCAGAGAGAATGAAACTGGGAATGGGGAAAGGCAAAGAACTCTCAAACAGCTTCTAGTGCTTCCTCTAGCAAGGCCTCACTCCTAAACCTCTGCAAACAGTGCACCAGCAGGAGCCACGTGTTCAAAACTTGGAACCTAGGGGGGCATTCTCATCAAACTACCACATGGGGTGACCAACCCTTTTGATTTTGAGGCATGCTCCACAAGAAGAAATTCATTTCTGATCTTGTAAAAGTGATCAAATGTCCATGACTCAAAGCCAGGTGTGGCACTCACCTTTAATCCCAGCATTCGGGAGGCAGAGGCAGGCAGATCTCTATGAGATCCAGGCCAACTGGGTTTACATAGTGAGCTCCAGCCCAGCTAGGGCTACAGGGAGACCCTGTTTCAAAACAAACAAACAAACAAACAAACAAGCAAACAAACACAGGACTCAGGAGGTCATAGGTTTTAGGTGGGAACCTACTATTATTATCTTGCTCATGAACATGTTGCAAAACTGCCTTCTAAATAGTTACATTTGTATACACGGATTAGTGCTTTTCTCAAACTAGGCTAGAAAAGCTTCTCTCTGCAGTGCTCACCAGTTAATGCAGAGACCCATAATTGGTCAAATTGCTGAGAACAACTGACTATTGAGTGTTCATCCCTAAATGGGACATCCATGTCAACCCTCCCTCAAAGGCTCAGATATCATCGAAGAAGAGGCAGAAAGAATGTGACAGCTGGAAGATGGAGAGGAGTACTGTGAAGGAATGTCTTCTGGACATGGCGTAGTCCTTGCATTCATGAACTCACTGAAGCTGTGACTACCAGCATAAGATCCAGCCAACAAGGCCACTCAACATTTCAATAGGTAGCCCTAATTGCTTCAGTAGGTTATTAAAAAACAAACAAACAACAAAAAAAAAACAGGAGAAGGAGGAGGGGAATGTGTCAGGGTTGGATATGATCAAGATATCCTGTTTACATGGATGAAATTGTCAATGAATAATAATAAAAGACACTCTGGAGAGATACTTGGCTGATAAAATATAGTTGGTATTATCATTCATCATTTTTTAATCTTGCTGTGATCTATCTAATATACCTCTAAATGGCTTAAAAAAAAAGCTGGGCATGAAGGGACATACCTGTAGTCCAGCACTTGGAATGGGAGGTGGAGGCAGGAGGATCAGGAGTTTAAGTCCATCCTCCCTATATACTGAGTTTGAGGCCAGCCTGGGCTATAAGAGATCCTGACTCAAACACCCACCCCATGTCTTTGCAAGAAGAAGAAGGAGGAGAAAAAGGAGGAGGAGGAGGAGGAGGAGGAGGAGGAAGAGGAGGAGGAGGAGGAAGAGGAGGAGGAGGAAGAGGAGGAGGAGGAGATATAAGTAAGGCATGGTAGCACATGCATATAATTGCAATGCTCACAAGGCTGAGGTAGAACGACTGTGCAAGGCCAGCCTGGGCTACATAGTTAAAGTCAACTACACAGTAAGAGTCTGTCTCAAAAAAAAAGAAAAAAAAAATCAAGGACTGAAGATGTAGCTCAATGGCAGAATGTTTCCCTCACTTGAGCAAAGTCCTGAATTGAATCCTGCATCTTTAGGAAAAAAATAGGCAAACCTTGGGTTTGTGGTGTAGAGCACTGCACTTACCATGTATGACACCCTGGAATCAATCCCCAGCACATGTGCATGCGCACACACACAGAGGCAGAAAAACTATAGAAAAAAAGAGAGAAAAAGCAATAAAAGAGTAGGCGAAACTAAATATGCTTATGAACATGTTGGTAAAAAGCATATAGAAAAGCAAAAGAACGTTCAACTGAAAATCAAGATGATGTTTACCTCTGAATGAGAAGCATACATATTATCAACTCAGAGTTGGGATGGCCCTGAGGCCTTCTAAGGCCTTAAAAATATTTCCAATAGGTCCTTTATGATTATTGTCCTTTAAAACAGACATATAAATACATTATGTATTCTGGGGTGAGATGAGGTAGGGGAGGGCTTCCAGGGACTGTGGCCACACAAGGAAGGGAGTTTTCAACAACAGGAAAGGCGAGGCCACCAACACTGGGTCTAGTCCTAAGCTAGCTCCTCTGCCAAAAGTCTGGAATTGGTGAGTTATGGAGGCTTTTAGCAGAGCAGCCACCAAGTGTGGTGCCATCTGTATGTGGTAAAGACGTGTGCTGGTTAGTTTTTGTTAACTTGATACAATAAACCCCTTCCGCTCCAGGTGGTTTTCAGTCAGAGTATTTTATCACAGCAATAGAACGCAAAACTTTTGGGAGGATTGTGGAAGTATTTGGAGCTTTGAGCTAGAAAAGCCTTTGAGTGCTTAGAATTTAATGGGTTGTTCTGTGGGAGCTTAGAAGATAACACTGAGATAAATGCAGATGATGGAGACGTGACTTGTGAAGCTTCAGAGGGACGTTAGCGAGTCCCATAAAGACTAAATCATTTGTGTGATATTATGAATTGTGAACCTGTGGTGTCTTCTTGGCTGGGGTTGAAGAATCAGCTGTGGTTAACAAGAGACCAGTACCACAGAACTGAAACTTTTGCTTTACTAGGGCAATCCATGCTAGTTAGGTAGGGATGAAAATCAGCTGTGAATAACAAGAGACCAGTATTATTGAGGTGAAATCTGGGATGTATTTCCTTAGGGCCAGCACACAGAAGCTGTGGTCCACAGTGGCCAAGGTTGACACTAAACTTGGCAATGTGTGAATCTCCCACATGGTAATGGTTTTAAAGGCATGCAGGGGTCATGGAGAGCAGCTTAAGATTGGCACCATTTGGCAGGGTTGGAGTCCCTGAAGAGAAGCCAGAGGTCATTGGTGAAGGTGCAGCATAGGTTGCAGTGGAGGCCCCTGCATATTGGCGATGCCAGGACTGTAGATTGACCACCAAGGAAAATAATGTGTGTGGAACGGAGCTGGCCTAAGCCTATGAGACAAATTGTGTATGCTGTGGAAGACGGAGCTGGAGAAGTGGAGCTATCCAAGTCTTTTGGTGCCCAGAAGATTATGAGTGATTCCCAGATGTCTGTCATCATTGCTGGACTTTGGTTTTGTATAAGTGTGCCCAGTTTGTTCCCCCACCCTTTTTCTTCTGTCTTTTTGAGTCTTCCTGTAGCCCCAGATGGCCTGGAACTCACTATGTAGACCAGGCTAACCATGACCTCACAGAGATCTGCCTGCTTCTGCCTCCCAAATGCTGGGATTAAAGGCGTGCGCCACCATGCCCAGCTCAGTTCTTCCCTTTTGAAATAAGAAAGTATGTAACTTATTTTTGATTTTACAGGTTCCCATGGTTGAGAGACTTTGGAATTTTAAAGAACTTGAACTTTTAAATTGTTGGAATTTTTAAAAGACTGTGGGACTTCTAAAAGTAGGAGTGTGTTTTCTATTGTGATACTATTGTGAGCTCTTGAGGACTTCATAAAAAGCATATGGCATATACTGACTTGCTTGTGTGTCAAGTTCATAAAGTGTCAATTGTGCTAATTAGTTTTTGTTAACTTTGCCCAAGCAATAGTTACCTGGGGGGACCTCAGTTGAGAAGTTTCC